AGACAAAAAAGACAAAATAAAATAAAATAAAATAAAATAATGCACAGGATATACTCAGTCTAGAGAATATTTAGGGTTTTTAACTATTCCTACATTTGAACATTTAAAAAACGTTTTGTTTGTTTTTTGGAAACATTTAGATGCCTCATTGCTATAAATAAATTGGTACATATATTTTGTTCGTCTAACTGGGAATACCTGAGCTTATTAAAAGACTTGATTATTTAACATTTAATGATACAAATATTGCAATTAACAAATCAACTGTTTATCTTCAGTGATATAAATTTGCATTAAAATTATTATTAGGAAATTCCTGTCACTGTACATTATTTTACTCTTCTCATGCTGTTTCTGCCCTTTGCTTATCACAAATATGTACAGATAACACTCAGATTTACTCCCTCAATCCAGACTGAATTTCTAAGACAACCCTTAAGATGTCTCTGACATTTTAAACTTAAGGTGATCAAGACCAAACATGAGTTTTCCACCTTCAAACATTTTTCTGCTTTTCTTCCTTTTTCTGGCTAATGGTATCATTATACTTCTAACCATTTCTGTCCCTAAAAACCTGTTTTGTTTCTACTTTTCCCAATCATACTTACACTTTCTACTACAGCACTCTTAAACTACTTGTGGTTGCTCATATTCTCTCTTTCATACCCTACCACATGTAATGCACACACTAGCCTTTTAATTATTGCCACAGTTTCCCTGTGCCATCCAACTTATTCTGATCTCGGGCCCAAAATATGGTTCATGTTTTCCCAACTTCAGGAGTTTTTCATATTCTTTATTAAGTGAAATGCTGAAAAAAAATTTGACAACATAAATTTATTTTCTTAAAGATATTAATTACTACCCTCTTTGGTAATCAGTAATTAATTTCATGCTTAACCTAACTATAACCATTTTTCAGTAAGAGTGGCAAGTCGTCAAAGTCAATAATAATGTAAGGTATGTTGAAGAGAGTAGGCTTCACCAGCATTATTTATGAAAGCCCTCAGCTGTGTGATCTTAGGAACTTTATTTTGTTAGCATTCAGTATGTTAGAGTCTTCCAAGAAGCAAATGCCAAAATGGAATTAAATATGTAAGAATTTTATTATGGAAAATGCTCTTGTGACCAAAAAAATAAGGAGAGAGGTGAGGAAGGCTGTAGATCCCTCATACTACAACATCCGGCCCCAGTGAAAGAAGGTGGAAGCCTTCTAGACTACCTTGGTGCAATGAAGTTAAAGGAAGTTCAGCCACACTGTTAAGACATCCTTGAAGCATAGTTAGAGGAATTCTGTGTTTACAGGAATGGACCTATTTTAGCATCTAACCACATTTGATCATCAGCCAGGAGAAGCTCTTGCGTACCATGGCCTTGTGAGCAACAGGATTTCAGAGCCTAGCAACTAGGATTTTGGGATATTACACCTGTAGTTGCTGGTCTGCATTCTCTTGGCCACTACAACCCTGGAAGATGATTCATTTCTTAAAACAGAGTGTCCATAGCTAAGCTTATAAGAAACTTGGTTATATATTAACAGCTGTTTTGCTTACACTAAGAATTAACTTATCCTGTGGTATCAAATATTTATATTAATAAGATTAGCAAATTCTCTCCGTGTTAGGAGATTTCTCTCAGGAGCTGAACTCCAGTGCAGTTAGGTTGGTGAGCATGTGTCGGGCCTTAAAAACTAACGCCACCTTAAGTGACATTACAAGTGGCGCCATTATGGGCCCACAAGGGCGTATTAATGTGGCAGCCTAAGAAGGCGTGGGAGGAAGTAGGATGGGAGTGTCTGCGGGAACCTTGCCTTAGCCCTTTTTGTCCAAATACATGCTTCCACGCTCGTGATCACTGCGTGGTTGCAATAGCTAAGCACTGAGACAGGATGCATGCTCTCATAACCTTTAAGCTGATTGCAGGATGTAAAAACCTCCCTTCCCCATTTGCCTTTAAAAGCAAATGCTTGTGTGATAATAAACGGAACTGCTTGACAGAACCCCCACCGCATCTGAGTGTCCTTTAATGGGCTGGTTGGGGCCGGTGGTGTGCTCACCTCTCTTCACGGCTCTCTTCCCCCGTCTCCTTCCAACGGGGACTGGAGGGAAAGAGGAATCCGGGCCACTTGCTCACCCACCAAAAGGATCAAGGCTAGGGCGTCTGACCCGACAAGCATGGATTCTGAACAAAGAGATTTAAGTGAATAATTCAAATTCTAATGACATCTGGCTATCGCATTCAGATATATTCATCTCCAGCTAAGTCTGCATCTGCCCCAAGGAACATAGAGATCACATCTGTGCCCGAGAGCCCTCCCTCTGGGCAAGACTGGACAGAAGCTGCTGAAGTCAGCCTCTGAAGTATGTCTCTCATGTCCTGTGCTGACTGGTCCCCTCTGTATTTGTTAGCTTTTGCACAAGACAAACCGTCACAATACTTAGGAGCTTAAAGCACCAATTTAGTATCTATTTCTCCTGGTTCTGGGGTTAGCTGGGTGATTTTTCTGGTCTTTGCCAACTGGACTACTACTGGATGCCTAGGATGGCATCACTCATGAGTCTGGGGATTCGGATGGGATGCAGGGGGGGCAGGGATGGCTGGAGCTTCTCTTCACATTGCCTCTCCTCCTCCTGAAAGCTAACCTGGGCTCCTTTACCTGGAGGAATAAGGGTTTCCAGTGACAAGAAAGGGCAAGCCCCAATACACAAGCACTTTTCAAGTCTCTGCTTCTATCATGTGTTTTATCGTCATTTTTTTATTAACTAAGACAAATCACGTAGCCAATCCCAGAGTCAGTGTGGTGGGAACTATCTCAGGGTATAGATGCGGAGATCCCTGAATAAATTGGGACTTTTTCTATCACACCATCTGATTAGAAGGTTGCTCTTCCTCCTCCTCCTTCCTTTTTTTTTTTTTTTAAAGATGACCGGTAAGGGGATCTTAACCCTTGACTTGGTGTTGTCAGCACCACGCTCATCCAGTGAGCAAACCGGCCATCCCTATATGGGATCCGAACCCGTGGCCTTGGTGTTATCAGCACCGCACTCTCCTGAGTGAGCCACAGGCCGGCCCCTCCTCCTCCTCCTTCTTCATCTTCTTTATGATTATCAAATGAATAAGACCATATCTACATTCTTACATTTTCCAATTCTGGCCTGAAAAGTATTGTTCTAAGGTACACTTTTACATATATTGAATTGATATGCAATTTGTTAATTTTTATCTCAACTTTCAGTGTTGCCAACAATGACAATCCATCTCTTTCTACAATTCATAAGGATCCTGAGTGCTTTATGGGTTTTTCTCAGTGAAGAAGCTACAATGATCCCACACATTACATGGGAAAATTATGGGATTAATGTTTCATTTTGACAGTGGTTGGTCAATTCACTCAGTAATAGCAATTCATTTCATCCTAACAAAAGCATAGATGTGTTTATTCTTCAGTTTAGTTGTTGCTTGAATATCAAAATTAGGAGGTAGAAATTGAATAATATATGACTTGTTAGAAACTATAATTTTCTACTGTATGGTTCTTCTGTCAGCTAACCGTGTTGAGTTTATTATCACTATAATTAGGTGCTGAAGAGAATAAATGTAAAAGCAACATGTTAAAATTTTTTTTAAAAAAAATGCTTTGGAGTGACTAGCATTTTTCTTGTAGTCAAGGCAGTTTCTGGAGCCTGAGGTAAAGTCATGCATTAGAAATCTTTGCAGGCTGTATGCATCCCTGCCATTTAGTAGGCAGAGATATGTGGGTGACTGTAGATAGTCTTATCTTTATGTTACTATAACACATATGAAACTGATTTCACTTAAACATACATTTAGAGAAAAATAATTAATCAGATCAGCCTTTTGACTCAAATAACCAACTACTCAATTTTGTACAGCCCTTGTGTTTTAAAGGTAGCATTCATCTTTAATGACCCAGATCTACTCTTTGGTCCTATTGAAATGACTGATAAATTTCTACACTGATGGAGGATATAATCCCTTTGACTTCAACTGAATCTCTGGTTGTTATTATGAAATTTGCCTTCTACTATGGCTCTCACCCTCCATTAGCCCAATGTTAGAACACATAGAAAATTCTTTGTTTTTAAATGTTGCACATTAAGTTCTTTGCTTAGATTCCACAGCTTCCCAATTCTCTGAATCTGGGCCATATTATTGGACTTCTTTATGGTTTTAATACAAGCTCAGTATCTACTGTGGGCCTTGGGAATCCCTTTTCAGCTTACACATCAGGAGCTATTTGAATATCGTGCAGTCATTCATAATCCACACACATTCAGCCAAGGGAAGTTGTTTTTCAGTAATCCTTGTGTTAACAATCATAACCTTGGTGCATTCCAAGTTACTGTTCTTTATTTCTATCTTCCCTTTTGTAGCTAACACACCGAGTAATATCTCAGCAAATCTAGTCTGATGTCCTGCTGAGTACTTCCTTGATAAAAGAAGCAAGTTCAATTTCTTTATAAAAATAGGAATTTAGAAGTTGACAGATAAGCCTCTTCCTAAGACCTAAAGTATATACACTTTTGGGGCCGGCCCGGTGGTGCACTGCTACAGTGCGCCGCTTGGGAAGCGCGGTGTAAAGTATATACACTTTTGGGGCCGGCCCGGTGGTGCACTGCTACAGTGCGCCGCTTGGGAAGTGCGGTGTCGCTCCCGCCGAGGGTTTGGATCCCACATACAGACCGGCTGCTCACTGGCTGAGCGAGGTGCGGGCGCAGCACCGAGGGTTGTGATCCCGTTGCCGGTCCCGGTCCGGTACGGGCGCGACACTGAGGGTTGCGATCTGTTGCCGGACACAAAATAAATAAATAAATAAATAAAGTATATACACTTTTTATATCATTTTAGATTTCTGTGTACAAGGCTCCAGCAAACAAATGAAGTTTTTTTTGTTGTTTTTTTTTTTTCTTATGGTGCTTTTTCAGCTCTAGGAACCCCTTGTCTCATTTTAACTCATCAGGTCATGTTTTTTCTTCTAGGACTACAATGATGAAATTCGTCAGGAACAACTACGTGAATTATCTTACTTAAATGGCTCAGAGGACTCTGGTCGTGGCAGAGGTATTAGAGGCAGAGGGATCAGAGTAGCTCCCACAGCTCCTTCAAGGTATATTAGTTCTTACTTTAAATAAAGTGACAGTTAAGGATGATGGCAGGCCTTTGCTGTCCTGTTCTACATTGTGATCATAACTAGGAATAAACAGCAACATCAAAAACAATCATCATGATGACAACAAAAGTAACAACTAATGTTTATATAGTTGTAAGAGCTTTACATATATTAACCCATCAAATCTGCCATACTAGGAGGTAACTACTATTCACAGGTGAGAAATTGGGGTACAGAACGCTGTGTGTAATTTACCTAAGGTTACACAGACAGTCTGACTCTGGAATTCACAATTTGAGCTCTTAACAACTACCCTGAGAAAATTAGGACAGCAGACCTGAGAATTTTTACTTTCTTGTTCTGTCCCCAGTCTTAGGGCACACAGATGATAATACAGCCATTTCCTCTTTGAACCGGAATGACCTTGCATGAAGCAAAAGCTATAAATTTTGTCTGTGCCTTAAATAGTCCTTGAATTGACATAGTCTTACCAGGGAGGGAGGGAGAGAGATAGATCAATAGGTAGATAGGTAAATAGAGAGAGAGAGAGAGAGAGATACAGAGATAGATACAGATACTATATATGCCATCAGCCTACAAAGCCAGAAGCATATTTCTTGCATGGCTGGTGGTAAGGGTATTTAAAGTTCAGATACATTTGACATTACAGTGTCCTTGGTGATTTTATTTGATTTTGTTCACTTTGCAAAGAAATTGAAATCTTTCTGTATTAGAATTTGTTTTTCAGGATTCTGAATTTGTCCAGCTTTCAACAGAAAGCATTGGTTTGCAAAGAGGTAAAGTAAAAAATACTCATAGCCTTCAAACACAGTCTATGTGATTCAATCATTCTCTTCACCTATTATAGTTGGCCTTTAAATCTCTAAAGGAAATAGATCTAGAATACTATTTCATATGTCATATAGAAATTATCTTAAGAGATGCTTAGATACTTTGCAAATTCCATTTGTTTCTTAAATTACATCCCAAATATTTTTAGTCACCACGGTCAAAATACCACTGATTTTAACATTTAAATGATACACACCTCAAAAAGTTTCACACTTGTCATAAAAAAAAACATTAAGAATGATAAATTTTCAAATAAAATATTAAGGAACTGACTATAGGTAAAATGTAGCAATTCTGGAAATTAGACTTAACTGAAAGAAAAACTTCTGAGTATGGTATGGAGATTAACATTTTACTCTTTAAAACATTAAAAATAAAGTTCTCTAATACTATTCAGAATCATTTGTTCATTGCTAAGAATTAATGTGACATAACACAATACCTTTTATTATGGGATTTGTCTTTTATAAAACCTGTACATTTCTAACCCATCTTGATAGGTTTGTGAAATAACATCATTGCATGTCATATTAAATAGATTTAATCATTGGGCTCAATCATATGAAATTGCCATCTTTGTAGTTTAAAAAATGGCAGTTTTAGCAATTTTTTATAGTGTAACCTATGTATATATTTTGTATGCCTAGAGAAGACACATGTTTGTTCTATAGACCTTGAAACTGACTGGTAACTTTTTTAAAAAATAATGCATTTACCTATTTTTGATTTTATAAAATCACCATATTAATCGACATTGCATTTGCCATATTTGAGTGGACCATTTAAAATTTTAATTTTAGAAAAGATTTATTCTAATATTTTAATCTGTTTAATAATTGAATAAAGAAGAGTGTGTTATGGTCTAAATTTTTAAATGAATAAGGAAATAACTTCACAAAACAGAAAATCATATTGATCAGAAAGATATGGGAAACTTGAGCTAATGGATACTAATTTGTATATATTTATGAAATTATAACTTTACTAAGTTATTCACTTATACTTATATTTTTAAAAATGGTGCCCAGAACATTTTAAAAACCTATATAATAATTTGTTGTAAATATATTTAAGGAAATTTACATTTCAACAAATACATCTATGATAACTATCTAATCTCCTACTAATAATGCATACCAGAGAACAAAGCACTACATGTATGTATTATAATCATAATTTATTTTACATAATTGAAGAATGAAAATGTATCACATTTTTAACACACATCACTACTACATGTTGCAGTGAGAGCAAGCAAAGAAAATGAGCCATTAGGGGCAGATTTTGAAAGCTTTTGTTTACTACAATGAGAACTAATACATGCAACTAATAGAGTGGGAAGTAGTCACATTTGTTTCTAAAAAAGACTACTCAGTCATCACTGTGGGTGATAGGGAAGAGCTGGAGTGATTGGGAGAGAAAAGAAAGAGAGACAGATACAGAGAGAGACAGAGAGGGAGAAATTGACTCATGGAAGGGGAGCCAAGGAGAAGTCTAGTCCTTCATTCCAGACAGACTGAAAAAGAGAAGCATTTGCAATGCAGAAAGATAGGCTGGATTAGAAATTAAAATTTATAGGAATTAGATTTTAGAAGAGAAGTGTGGCCCGAGACAAAGGTAGCTCTCTGATGTCTAGCCTGGTAAGTTATCATCCATCAGTTAAGATTAGGTGAAGAATAAGTAAAATGAAGAGCATAATTATTCCTATAATTTATCCTAGCTCTATGGATTGCTAGTGTGACCTTGAACAGGTGACTCATGCTCTCTGTGCCTTGGCTTTTCAGCTTTTAAAATAGCTTAGAACTGCCTACCTGACAAGTTTGTCAAGATGTTTAAGTGAGGTGATGCATATAAGGTTCTGGTTCCCAGATTGACCCGTACGCTGGAATCACTGGGGGCTCCCTGCCTCCAGAAACTCTGATTTAACTAGCCTGGGGTATGGCCTGGAATTGGAATTTTTAAAAGACCCTCGAGTAACTTATATGTAGGCATGTTAAGGAACCTCTGATATAAGGAATATAAACCAGAATAAGCAATATGTTAAGAAGAAACAGACAGTAGCCATCATTAGAGTTAGGGAATGCAGGGTGTAACCGTGAAAGAAAGAAAGATCAAGGACAGAAACTGAGACACTATATTCCGAAGTGGGCCTAGGAATAGAAGTCATGAATGAAGCTGAGGCGTAAGAAAGAGGAAGAAGGAAAAGTGGAGAAAAGCGGAGTCATAAAAGCCCAAAGAAACATTTTGCAGATAATAGTCCACAGTCTTAAATATAATAGGAAAGGAGCAGTGGCATAGAACTGTAAAAGAATTAGGCTATTGGTGATCTCAGTCAAGAGTATTTGCAACACAGTGTAGAAGCAACAACTAGATTGACTAAATTTGGCTCAGGAATGAAAAATTAAACACAGAAAGTGTTCTTTGAAGGAGTCAAAAATAAAGGAAAGGGTATTGTGGTGTGGATGGCTTCTGTGCCTTGGGGCAGCATACTAAAACGGGTGATGTGAGCCTTGCGTTGAATTGGAGAAGGGAGCAACGAGGTCACTATTCTAGGGAAAGGACACCATGTACAGGAGGCACTAAGTCAGGTTCAGGAGACAGGTGTGCTAGGGCTGTGTCTAAAGGTCAGATGATGAAGGAATGGAATGAGAAAGTAGGTTTGCTATGAGCATCATATAATTTTAGAGCAGGAAGAATTGTTATAGATTCAGAAACCTGAATTATATTCAGAAAAAAATCTACTTCAGACCTAGATAGTTATAATGCTTACCCATGATTACTCCATCATGTTCATAATATAATGTGATTTATAACCCACTCGGACACTTTTGAGAGTGTTAAAATGCTAAACTGAACAGCGAGCTAGGACAACAGTTGTAAAATCTGGACGTATGTTCATCTTGCTCATGAAGAAATAGATAGGTACGTGAAGTCCCGGTGAAGATAAAATTGTTCTTCACGTCTATTTTTATAGATGTGTTTTTATATTCTCACGATAATATAGAATATTGTATTCTCAGCTGTGTTGTACTTGAAGCTGGCACTGGGCCTCTGAGTCTTTTGTATTTCACCTTCCCCCCAATCTAGGAGAGTGTTCTGTATACATTAGACTCACAATAAGTTCTCTGATAGTTTCTCTATTCATCAGTTCTATAATCTATTTAAAATTTTTAAAAGCTTTACCAGCATTCTCACTCTTCACTCCTAAAAGCTCATTTTCTGCAAGCAAGAAAGAGCCAGCTGACTGCTATTCATAGCAGAAAGCATAGCCTGCGTCCCCATATGTGGGCACAGCCAAACAGTGTGATTGTTGACATCCCAATGATCATCATTTTCCCTAAAGCTTTAGTGTTCCTGCTGAAAGCAGTGCTTTCTGGAGGCCAACCTTTCAGACATAATAAAAAGTGAAATAACCATGCTTTCGCCTAGAGATTTCAGGCAAACGCTCAACCTTTCAAAAGGCCTCAATACCATAAAAGTTGGCTGCAACCATTTGATCTCACATTTTTAGTACAAGTTACTTCGGTGTCAAGAACTACAGTGTGGAGTACTCAGTCTATTCTTTTTATTGCACAGTACTATGTATTCCACTAGCACCATAGTTACCACAGGAAAATTATTACATCAGGGACTGCACCAGCTCAGGGGGATATATGCCTAATGATAAATCAATGACAGTGAGTTGTGATTTCAAGTGACCTCAAACTTAAGCTACTATAATAAACAGAATGAAATCACCATGGTTAGAGTTCCGCATTTTATTAAAGTGCAGACAGATCTTTTTTTCATGAATGACAACATTGCACATCACTGTCAATAACCCCCAGACACAGACATAGAGCAGCTCATTTTCATAGATGGTCCAGTGAGTCATATCACAGAAGATGTTCTGATTTGGGTCTTTTGGGAAAATTTGAAATACAGTTAGAATGTGTTTTTGCTTTTTTTTTTGGTTGTTTTGCTTTGTTTTTTTAGTTATATAAAAGACAATATCAAAGTATTTTACCTGATTTTCATGAGAACCAAGTCATAGTTAGTATTTACAAAATGTGTTCTGTGGAGGTCAAACACATTAACTCTTAAATAATCTCTATTACACACATACACAGACAAATTTGGATTTCTTCCAGTGTATGGAGGCTGTGAAATGAGAGCTTTATCTGTTGTAGTCTCTTTTCTCTCATCACTTCTTTCTCATGTACGTGTGACCAATTTCTCCTAGGGGCCGTGGGGGTGCCATTCCTCCTCCCCCACCACCTGGACGAGGTGTTCTCACCCCCCGAGGGACTACTGTGACTCGTGGAGCTCTTCCTGTGCCCCCTGTAGCAAGAGGGGTCCCTACCCCTCGAGCTCGGGGGGCACCAGCAGTGCCAGGATACAGGGCGCCCCCTCCTCCAGCTCACGAGGCTTATGAAGAATATGTAAGTACCCTCGAGAAATCAGTTGTAAGGAAGAGTTAAATTGATTGGTTAATAAGCTAAGCCTCAAAAACATTGATATGCCATGAATATAGCAGATAATGTGTGTTGCAGAAAACGAATGTGATTTGCAACAGAATTTAAGCAGTGCATTTAAAGGACAGCATTTTAAGAAAAGCTTTCATTTTACAGGTGTCATCACTGTTGTGAGTGCCAGTTAAATAGCTTGCATTCTAAGAATCAAACTGTCCTCAGGCTTCCCTGTCTTTAAAAGGCTTGATCTGATTTCAAACAGGAAATAATTATTAACGTAATGTGAATCATCATATATTCAGAGAATTCTTCTGAGATGTGATAAAGATTAGCATAAAACTCAGAAATGTTTGACAAATATAATGTGATTATATTATAAACTTTAATAATAATGTAAGACCATGTGGCTAGTCTTTCATTTTACATATTCTTACTTTTTATATCACTATATAAAAGATATGGGATTGGCAAAAGCAAGTCAAAAAAATATAGAATGAACAGAAGAATGCAACGTCTCTAAGTATCCCCCTCCTTACCCATCCACTATCTCTCGGTCATCTTGTAATCCGAACATCCTTTGACCAGGTTGTCAGTATTCCACCGGTCACACTGTATTATAGTCCTTGCATCCATTTCTCCTATGAGATTGTGAAACTTGTAAAAGGGAGTTTCCTAATTGCTTGTGTAACCATAGAAGTCTACTGTAAATGTTCAACTGAATTGATGCAAGCCAGATTATCTTCCTATGAAACACTGATTTTACCTTTAACCTCTCCAGCATACCCATTCCCTGATCTAGGTGATTGCTTCATGCAACCACCCACAAACATGCTGTCCTCTTAAATGTTCTGTGAATTATTGCTTATTAAATATAAACTCTTAAAGGACAGTGATTGTCACATGCTGGACACTCAAAACATACAAATGTTTTATGGACTGGTTAAAAGCCTGTCACCTCTCTCCCCCTGGGTGATGGAGATGTAAAAGGACTACTCAAAGCCCATTTCTTCTGAGCAGTGAGAAGCCCTGAAGGGGTTAATTTTCCAAGAGAGAGGCATTCCTTCTTGGAAAAATAACACCAGACTGGAGTCTTCTCCCAGTATTTATTCTCCAGGCCAGAAAGTTAAAGAAAAGGAACATAGGTGGAGTTATGGCTAAGCATAGTTTAACCATAGAGGCTGGTAACATCAGAGAAATATCAAAGTGACTTTCCATAATGCAGTTTGCAAAAGGTTAAGTCGATCCACCAAAAAAAGCTTTTTCTCAGCAACTACTGTCTTTTCCTACAGCAATTTCCTTAGTGTTTTTACACAACAATAAAGCAACTTTCTTAACATACAATCAGTAAGTTAACCTGCTCCAAGGGCATCTGTCCTTGAGCCAAAAACTTTGCTGTGTTACAATTCTTTATCTACAACAGAGACTTTAGCCTGGGGAAAGTTTCCTGTCTTTTGCAGCTTAACATTTCTATATGTAATTTTAAAAAGTTAGGTTATACCTGAAACTACAGGGCCTTGGAAGCTAGGCCCTGTGAAATACATTTGCTTTATAAATGTTAGTATACTCCACAAAACCAATCACAACTTAATCCTAAAATAAAGTGAACAGAGTTTATAAGGTATCACTACGAATATATTAATGCTTAGCATACATAAGTTTTTAGGAATAATATTACTGGTTAAATGTAAAACATTGACTAATGTCTACAAGAGTGAAGAAAAATTAACTGTAAAATCCACTTCTGTGTGAACAGGTGAAATGTGTTCATCTGAAGTATCTTTTATACCTCAAGTATCAATATTTAAAACCTTTGACAATCTTAAAATTGCAAAATCAGAAACAGAAAATATATTCTACCCTGTAATCTAGCCCAAAACTCAGGAAACATGGGAACTAACTAGCTCTGGTTCTGCCATCTCTTGCCTGAGACACTATATGTGTGAAATAAGTACTTGTTAAATGAATGAATTGAAGATCCACAATGAGGATGGTGAGATTATCTTTTTTTTTCTTTTTTTCCTTTTTGAGACCAGCCGCACCGCACTCATCCAGTGAGCCCTGTGAGCGCACCAGTCATCCCTATATAGGATCCGAACCTGCGGCAGGAGCGCTGCTGCACTCTCAGCACCGCACTCTCCCCAGTGTGCCACGGGCTTGGCCCATGAGATTATCTTTTATCTCAGAAGGATATTTTAGCTCCACCGTTTTTATCGACATTGACACTGTGGTGTTTTTATCCTACCAATAGAGGCTTAAACAGACAGATCCTTTTTTCAAAAATTAAAAAAGATGGAAAAACTATTCAGGTAATAGCAATCATCATTGTTATTAATCAAAGAATTTACACAGCATATATGGCACTATGAAAGAGAACAAGATTGTCAAAACAGAATTGTAGCCTTTCATGTGCACTCCAATATATGGTGAATAAATCACTGGAATATGAGGCAAATGACTAAACGACAAAAGCATAACAATTTATGGAAACATGGGTGAAAAGGTTATATTCTGAATGGGGAGACTTAAGAGGGGAGATGTTTCTTAGAAAAGGTAAAAGAAAATGCTAAAGTCATGTAATCTGAAATTTTTATTTAGATTTTAAAGTATCGAATCTCTTTCATTCACTCACTCATTTACTAAGCCTCTATCTTATTCCAGGCACTGTTCTGAGGTCCTGGAGATATATCTGTGAACAAAGCATACCAAATGTCTGCTTTCGTTAAGCTACGTTTTAGTGAGAGGAGACAGAAAACAAACTATGTAAATAAATGAATAAAGAAGTCAGGTAGAGATAAGTGCTCTGGAAAGAGATGGAGGGAGTTTACTACCACAAAGTGGGCAGTGAGGAAAAGTCTCTGTGAAGTGGAAACTTCTGTAAGTTCCTAAATAAAGCGAGGGTCTAGGCCAAGGGGCTGCCTCGGTAAATATCATTCCTGCTAGAGGAAATAGCAAGGGTAACTGCTCTGAAATGAACCTTCTTGATATATTTGAGGATCAGCAAGAAGCACATGAAAGCTGGAACAGAATGTGTGAGGGAGAGGTAGTAAATAAGGCCAAAGGAATGAACAGGCCAATTCTTGATGCTATTGGAGGGTTTTGAGCAGGAAAGTGACATGATCAGATTTATACAAGTATTTTTAAAGGTTTATCTTGCCTACATCATGGAGAATAAAATATGGGGGTGGAGATGGGCACAGTAGTGGAAACATGAGTGGTAACTCACTGTAGTGACAAAATGATGGCTTTGGAGAGAAGAGAAAAGGTCAGATTCTAAGTGTAGCATGAAGATAATCTGTTAGGATTTGGTGGTGGAATAGATGTGGGATCTGTGAAAGAGAGAGGAGTAAAGGATGATTTTTGTGAAGGTTTTTGGACTGAACAACTGCATTAAATTGAGGTACCATTTATTAAAATGAGAAGTACCATGGGGGAAGCTGAAAGTTCCATTTTAGGTCCTATTGAATGAAGGAGTTTTGGCCTCCAGGAAAGTCTGTAGTGTTGCTGGGTGGATAGGATATGGACTTTCAAAACAGACAGCAGCATCTCAAGGTTTGAATTTTGCTGTGTCACTAGCTCTGTAACTTTCTAAACACTTTGAGGTTTGGATTTATCATCTGTATGATGAGAATAATATTTCAGCCTTGCAATACTGCATTGCATATTAGAAATATTCTTAAGCACTTGTAAGTGTGCTTAAGTACCTAGAACATAGTAGGCATTCAATAAAAGAACTATTATATGAAATTTCATCATATATAAAATTCTTTAATTTCTGCTTGGAATAAGCTATGGACCCATTGAAATCATAGATGTTTATCTACTTTTTGTGAATTAATCAGGCATTAGAGTGCAAATAGAAGCAACATTTTGAGCTTTAGTAAAATTAAAAAAAAAATAGTTGGTGGGGAGTGTTATAT